TGATGGGAAAAATCGCAGAGGAGCAAAGGATCTAGTTTGATTTACCGAAGTACTTTGGAGTTGGTAGATTGGAGCTTTAATATCTGATAACTCAGGTCTCCTAACGCACTTCATTCTCCCTTTGAAAATGCAAATACATATACATACATAGAATCTTACATTTGAAGGAATGTACTTACCTTCTAATAGAATTTAAAAGGGTATTGATCAAAGTAGGATTTAGTTAGAAAAAAATGACATTTTTTGTTATTGTTAATTTGGCTTCCAAGATTACACATACAAAGTTTCTGTAATCAGCTTCCTAAAGAGAGAGAGAAAACAGCAACATTTCTGTGGGTATGTCAAAGGTTTCTGGGAATTCAGTCAAGTTGTGAGTTTCATAAAACTTACATATTCATACATAAGATATGATAACTCATCCAGTGTGGACATGCTTAACAATACAGAAAGTATATTATTTTTTGCAGTGTTTATCAAAAGTTATTGTCACTCAACTAGACATTTATATAGAGAAGAGGATCCTAACATCTCCCTATGAATCATGTCAGATAAAAATCTACAGTCAGCTTTCTTTTTTCATCAAAAACCTTGCTATAAATAAATATCAACATAAACTCTAGAATTATAAGATTCACTTAACCTTGTTAATATGACAGTCACTGAAACAAAACAGAGTAGGAGGCAGAAGACAGCTTGCAATTGCCAGTTACTCCATGGACTTTGTGACAGCAATATGTCATTTAAAGCCACACTGGGAGGGAAGGAGAGGTGAGGGGAGAGTGCACAGAACCTGTTGTTCTAGTTGGCTTCAGACAATGTTCTGAATGCTTCAGTGTAGATCAGTTCCCTGATCTCTTCCATCACCCACCTAAATTCAAGTCCCACCTGCCTTCCTGGCACACTGAGGTGAAGTTTGCAGCTTACAGTTGAGCTGACAAGATGAGAAAAGCTCTTAAGATGTTCCCCTGTCAGATACTGCAACTACCGCTAGTTGCTGATGGGAGAGCCACAACCCCTTCTAGGTTTCCCAGGAAGTTAGCCCTGTGTTATGGAGTGCAGTGTATTTTTTTAAGTAATTTAAAATCTTAAGAAGGAAGTCAGAATGGCTGGAAAAGTAATTAATTGGCAAACCCACTACTTTTCTTCAAAAATTATGTTGCCTTCTTTGAGGTCAGACTTTGTAATTGCAGGTTATAGCTTTTCATTGTTTCTGTGCACTCGTTACTTTGACAAAGAAAATCACCATAAATGTAGTGAAACAATAAGAAAGCTGTATCTGATAGAATAAGCATGTTCTTAGTCTGCAGGCAAACTGCTCTCTTCAGATTTTTTTTAATTCTTTTTCCTTAGCAGGTAAACATTGTGAAAATGGTTCCACTTCCCTAGTTCCAAGATTGCATGCTTTACTGGCATCATGTGCTCCTGAGGCAGGCAGAGAGACCTATCTTACTAAAAAGAAATTACATCTTGGAGTAACATGAAAACCTTGGAATAGTCCAAAGGTGACAAATTTATTTAGGGAATCAACTGGGTTACTATATGCCAGTGTATTGGGTCTGACTGAGCTGGAGTTCATTTCCCCATAGCAGCCCTCACAGTGGTGTGCTTTGCATTGGTAGCTAGAAGGGTGTTGATAACACACCAGTGTTTTGGCTACTGCTCAGCACAGCATCAGCTCTGTAACATTCCTCCCTCAATCGAGGGTAAGATCCTGGGAGGGGACACAAGTAGGCCAAAGCTGACCCAAACTGACCAAAGGGATATTCCAGACCATATGACGTCAGCTCAGATATCAAAGCTCAGGCAAGGAGCAGGAAGGCAGCCATTCATTGTCTCCAGTGGCTGCCTGCTGAGGAACTGTCACGTGTGCTGAAGCCCTGCTTCACACAGGTCAACGACCACTGCTGATGGGAAGTAGAGAATAAACGGTGCTATCTTTTGCTTGGCTTTTGCACGGGCAAACATTTGCTTTGCTTCTGCTCTAATAAAGTGCCTTATCCCAACCCATGAGTTGTTTTCCACTTTATCTGGCTGGGAAGGGGAGTGATAAAGCGGCTGGGTGGACACCTGACATCCAGCCAAGGTCAACCCACCACAGCCAGGTAGCATTGACAGTCATCCTGGGCCAAATAATACAAAAGCTGATACAGGACTTTAATGATAAATGATTCACATCTGTCCATATGGTTTTATGAAAAGTAAATTTTGTTATATGGGGGGGGGGGGACAGTAATTGAAAAAGACAGTTGATAAATATGATAATTTAGATGTGCCTAGAATTATTTCAGTGCTTGGCTCTTAATTGTCACCTTAAGTATCACATTGCTCTCATCAAAACATGAACATTATGCAGTATCACCAATACAAAGTTTAGGAACCGACCAAAAAGCTCAAAATAGTTTCCATTAGGAAGTCATTGTGGAATAGGAATGTTATTGGAGAAGTTAGTGACACTTGGTCTTAAATTAATGTTTTTATTCAGTGTGCAAAATATTCGGATCATAGCTACAGAATTCAGATAAGCTTAGCTTGTTTTCAACATCTGTCAATGTTCTAAAATACATACTACGCTGTGGGTGTTGTGTAAATGTGAGTGCATCTTTTGGCTGAGGAGAAAGTCTGCAAACAAGGGACAGTAATTACTGACTCTGTATCATCTATACCTCTTAAAAGCAAATACAAAAACATATTGATTTTTGGTATGGGAAATAATGCCTTACAAGATGTTTTCAGGAACTTTAAATTTAGCTTTTTGTGTAATATTTTTCAGATAAGGTAGTGCAGATTAAAAGGTAAATCAAAGAGGGTTGTAGTACTACTTAATATGGGAAGCATTTGGTTATCCTCACTCTATAATCTTTGAATTTCTGTTTGGGTAATGTCATGGTTGGTCTCATTTATAGGATGTAAATTGTTCCTATAATATCACAGAATCAAAGAATCACAGAATATGGTGAGTTGGAAGGGACTCACAAGGATCATTGAGTCCAACTCCTGCAGAGGACCCCTCCCAAAAGTCACAACACATGCCTGAGAGTATCATCCAAATGCTTCTTGAACTCTGTCAGGTTTGGTGTTGTCTGTCCCCTGGGAAGCCTGTTCCGGTGCCCAACCACCCTCTGGGTTGAAGAACCTCTTTCTAACACCCAGCCTAAACCTCCCTGACACAACTTCAGGTCATTCCCTTGGGTCCTGTCACTGGTCACCACAGAGAAGAAATCAGTGCCTGCCCCTCCTCTTCCCCTCATGAGGAAGTTGTAGACTGCAATGAGGTCTCCCCTCAGTCTCCTCTTCTCCAGGCTGAACAGACCAAGTGAGCTCAGCCACTCCTCAAATGGCTTCCCCTCAAGGTCCTTCACCATCTTCATTGCCCTCCTTTGGAGGCTCTCTAACAGCTTAATATCTTTCTTATATTGTGGTGCCCAAAACTGCACACAATGTTCAAGGTGAGGCCACACCAGTGCAGAGCAGAGCAGAACAATCCCCTCCCTCGACCGGCTGGAGATGCTTTGCCTGATGACCTCAGAACACGGTTGGCCCTCCTGGCTGCCAGGGCTGCCTGGTTAACTTGCTGTTAACCAGGACTCCCAGGTCCCTTTCCATGGCACTGCTTTCCAGTGTCTCATTCCCCAGCCTGTACAAACATCCAGGGTTGCCCCATCTCAGGTGCAGAATCCAGCACTTTCCCTTGTTGAACTTCAAATGGTTGGTGATTGCCCAGGCCTCTGACTTGTTAGGGTCTCTCTGCAGGGCCTCCCTGCCTTTGAAGGAGTCAACAGCTCCTCCCAGTTTTGTGTCATTTGCAAACTTGCTTAGTATCCCTTCCAGTCCCATGTCCAAGTAATTTATGAACATGATGAAGAGCACAGGGCTGAAGATAGAGTCCTGTGGAACCCCACTAGAGACAGGTCACCAGTCTGATGTTACTCCATTCTGTTACCCTCTGTGCTTGGCCCGTGAGCCAATTGCTCACCCACCATATGATTTGTTTACCCAGCTCTGTGCTGTCCAGAAGGATTCCTGTGAAAGACAGTATTGGAAGCTTTACTGAAATCCAAAAAGATTACACCAGCTGGCTTCCTCTGATCAACTAGGTGGGTTACTGTGTCAGGTTCGGTAAATAGGACTTTCCTCTCACGAAGCTGTGCTGGCTGTGACCAATGACAAAATTGTCTCTCAGGTGTTTTTCAACACCTCCCAGAATAATCTTTTCCATAACTTTACCAGGCACTGAAGTGAGACTGACAGGCCTGTAGTTTCCAGGGTACTCCATGCCCTTCTTGAAAATTTGGACAATGTTTGCCAGCTTCCAATCAGCTGGGACCTCTCTAGATTCCCAAGACTGCTCAAAAATCATTAAGAGAGGTTTTGGGAGATCAGCCAGCTCTTCGAGTATTCTGAGACGAATCTCATCAGGCCCCACAGATTTGTATGGATCCAGCTGGAGCAGCAGATCCTACACCATTTCAGGGTTGACTGGGAGTTGATCATTCTTGCAGTCATGGTCCTTCAGCTCAGGGCACTGAGACCTCCTTGGTCCATTATCTGCGTTGAAGACAGAGGCAAAGAAAGTGTTAAACACCTCTGCCTTGTCTCTGTCCCTGTTTGTGAGATGACCATCCTCATCCTGTGATGGGACAATGATATTTCTATACTGCCTATTGCCATTAATGTATTTGAAAAAACTCTTTGTATTGTCCCCCACGTTTCTGGCCAGCTTCAACTCCAGTTGAGCTTTGGCCACACAAATATTCTCCCTGCAGTGGCAAGCAGCATCTTTGAATTATTACCATGTCACTTGACCTTACTTCCACTGGGCATACACCTTCCTTTTTTGCCTTATCTCCAGGAGAAGATTCCTGTTCAGCCAGCCTTCTGCCTCACCTGCTTCACTTCCAACATTTGGGAATTGCCTGCTCCTGTGCCCTTAGGAGGTGATGTTGAAAAAGTGACCAGCACTGATGGACCCCAGCACCTGCAGAAACATTTTCCCAGGGGACCTTACTAATTCCCTGAGCAGCCTGAAGCCTGCTCTCCTCATGTCCAGCATTGAGGTTTTGCTGGTACTTTTCCTCCTGTCAACAGAGATTTTAAACTCGATCCCTTTGTGGTCGCTGTGGCCAAGAGGGCCACCAATCTCTACTTTGCTCAGGAGATCCACTCTGTTGACAAGCAGCAGATGAAGGAGGACATCCTTCCAAGTTGACTCTCTTAGGGCTGGTTCCATAAAGTTGTCATACAGATTTTTTAGGAATCTTCTGGCTGGGTTGAACCAACTGTATGATGCTGCCAGTTAATTTCTGTCAAGCTGAAGTCCCCCATAAGAACAAGTGCAGTTGACTTGGAAGTGTCCCTTAGTTCCTCAAAGAATAATTCATTGGCATCATTGCCCTGTCCAGGAGGTCTATAGCAGACTCCCACAATGACATCCACATTATTTGTTTGCCCCTTGATTCTTACCCAGGGGCTCTCAACGGTGCCATTGCCAACTGTGAGCTCCATACATTCTAACCTTTCTGTTACATACAGTGCCACTCCTCTGCCTCTTCTGCCCTACCTATCTCTCCTGAAGAGCCTGTAACCATCCAACAGGGCACTCCAGTCATAGGTCTCATCCCACCAGGTTTCACTTATGCCAGTGATGTGAAATCTCTGGGACTGGGCCAGAGCTTTGAGATCCTCTTGTTTGTTCCTCATGCTGTGTGCATTGGTGTAGAAACATTTCAGAATGGTACGTTGTAGCCAACATCTCTTGAGGCAGACTCAGGGATCCCGTGAGTGCTGTTTCTTCAAGTTCTGGCACACCATTCCATTGCTCATCACTGGTGAGCCTGGTTTTGTCTCCTTCAGGGAGAAAGAAATACTGCAGAACTGTGAATGTATGTAAAAACAATCACAGCTAAGACAAGGACAGAATATGGAAAAGCCTATACTGAATGAACAGAAAATATGAATGTAATGAGAAAGCAGCTGTAAGATACTAATAAGGAGGTGTTACAGGATTTAAAAAAGAGCAGAGTCTTGTGATTAAAAAAAGCAAATACTGCAAAAGTCACTAACAGGCAACTGAGAATTAAAATCTTTAATAGTTGTAGTTTGTGCTGTAGAGACAGGGAAAAAAAAGTAATTTGGTTTCTAGCAATAGATTTAAGTTCTTAGTGAAAGATACAGAAAACCAGTAGAATAGAAACAAACTAGAGGTGAATTCTAGCACATTACATTTTGAAATAAGACAGTAATAGAAGAGCCATATTCTTTTTTGACACAAGTCCTCACCTAGTCATTATCTAGAAAACTGCAGTCTCTTGTGTCCAAGTGTTTGATAATGTCTTGAGATCAGGAGCCGAGTTAATAATTTTGAGGAACTGGTTTACAAAGGAAGGTTCCAAATGTCCTGAAGGGGGGAAAAAATGAATCATGGAATCAATCAGGTTGGAAAAGACCTCTGGTCAAAAACCACCATGTCAAGCAGATCATGGCACTAAGTGCCACGTCCAGTTTTTCCTTAAACACCTCTAGGGACAGTGACTCCACCACCTCCCTAGGCATTAGATTCTAATGTATAATCACCCTTTCTGTGAAGAAATTCTTCCTAATATCCACCTAAACCTCCCCTGGCACAGCTGAAGACTATGTCCTCTTGCTAGGTGCCTGGGAAAAGAGGCCAACACCCACCTGACTACAATCCTTTCAGGTAGTTGCAGAGAGTGATGAAGTCTCCCCTGAGCCTTCTCTTCTCCGGGCTAAACAACCCCAACTCCCTCAGCCACTCCTCATAGGACAAGGAAATGTCCATGTCTTTGAAATTCTACTATAAGTCTGGCTTTCTGTAATCTTGCCTCCAACAAAATAAGACATTCAAGCCCACCAGATATTTGTATCCCCCGTAACAAACCGTGGCTGAGCTGGTCAGGAGCACCCCATTTGGTAAAGAATCTCTCAATGTTAACTCCTAATTTTATAGTTCAATCATTTGTCAGATGTTCTTAGGTCATGGTGTGGTTTAGTTAGTTAGGATTGGAGCAGGGAAGTAAGGCCCCTAGAAATAAACAGCCATAGGAATCTAATGATGACCATACTGTCAAAGGGAAATAAGGTTTCAGACTGGCTGAACAAGTTTTACATCCTACTTAATGATCTGTTCAGTAGCTCCAGGGCTTGGCTCTCAGGTGGAACAGTGAGTGTTCTGACCTGGAATTTCCTATGCTTCAGCCAGCAGTCAGCCAAGAGCCCATCCATGCACTGGTGTGAGGAGACAAACAAGCTCATCCATTGTGCCCTGGGAGCAGGTTCCAGAAAGCGGCTGCTATTTGTGAAATACTCAATACAATTTGTAGAAATGCTGCCAAAATACCAGTACCAACTATGAAATTGCAACGTCTATGCATCCTTAGTTATGGACGTTCCTGCTAGCACATTACCCAGGACGTAGGTACATACAGTACCTACCTAGTACAGCCCTGCTTTATTGGGAATGCATATTCACATGTGGAGGTGATCTGGGTAGCCATTTTACTACAAAGGAAAGCATTTGGCTCTTTGTGATTGGATTACCACTACAGCTGTCTTCCAAATTCCCTGAGAAGTTCATTCTGCTTATCTGTTTTGATGCAACCTGAGTAACCTAATTTATTTCACACTGCTGGTTATAAACACAGCCACACATGCAGCTCTACAAATATTTATATCAAGGGCAAATTTCTCTAAACGAAATAAGAGGTCTATAATCTTCATAAAGCAACAAAGATGAGTACAACACATCAGGTAAATCAAGGCCTCTACACCAAAGTTCTTCATCTGGATCTCTTCCATAGGAAATTTGTAATCCTCATGGTTTATAGAACTGCCTGTAAAAGAATGAAGGAGTCACATCTTTGCAGGCAGTTGTGCTGGAGGACCTCAGAAGTACTTGGTCATATTGAGTCTTTTCTAGGCTGGGCTGAGTTACCTACAAATTACGTTGGTCATGCCAGCAGTGTAGCTGCAGCAGTGCGAGCACACCAACATAGTGTGCTGGCCTCCATGCTACTTACGTGAGTATAGTGAGTGTAGCTATTTCTACAATTATTTTGTGTCTTATAGATATGACTGCAGTGCCTGCTACATAAAGGCCACCCCTAACACAAAGGAACTAACATCCATTCAGCTGATGGAAACTCTCCTGTAGTTTCTTCTTCTCCTGAAGAAACTCTTCAGCAGCCTCAGGGCTCCTCTCTGGTGTTGCTTTGTGATTAGTAGATTGTCTGTAGGTTACTAGGTGTCTGGAAGTACCTCCATAATTTTCATACAAGCTGAAGAAGAGATAAAAGGGAAATTATTAAGATATAGTGAGGGTTTTGCCAAATAGATTAGAGAGCAGCAAAATAAACAGATTGCAGCACAGTGCACATTTCTGACATTCTTGACGGGCATTTTTAAGTTAGACATCCTGCAGTCAGCATGAGATACTCAGGAAAAAACTTATCCCTAGAGCGCAGCTGAATCTACTGTCCACTGGGAGAGCTCTGGATCAAAGAACAGTGCCTAGAATCACAATTATTTTGCTTCAGCACATCTATGTCTTTATCTCTAAACCAAAATTCCTAAAATCAGACGTAAAGATTGCAGTAAATTATGATCAGAAGTGCAACATCTCTGAAGCTGACTGTGACCTCATGCTGTGCTAATTGTTAAGGTGGCAGAGATGGTCAGCATGGGGTTTTTCTATGTAAACAACTGTCAAGTAACATCTCCATCACTGTTCCTCTATTTTCTACACTTCGTGGAAAAAAAAATTATCATGAATGGGCTGCATTACACACCCTGCAGGAAAAAAATCACAGGTCCTGCCTGAACAGACATTAATTCTGTTATTTGTGTAAGGGAATGAAAGACGAATTCATTTTAAAGCACAGAGTAAGGTTTGTTTCCCAGGCCAGCCACATACCTCCTGTGTGAGCTGGAAAGTATGAAGGGCTTGGGAGCTGCTGACAAAATTTTGTGATTATCATGTCCCTGTTGGTCTGTTGTTATACTGCTAGCTGTAAGACAGCAATAAATTAATTCAAGCAGTGGACAGCTAGTTCTTTCTCACAAAAGATGTTACCAGGTTCATCTGATTCAATTACCAGTACTTGAAAGAGCAACACAAAAAGCCCCACTGCTCTGAGAATATGTTTGGGCAGGATTCGAGCAGAAAAAATTGGAAAAACAGCTTTACTGCCTGGTTACACAAGTCATGGAAGCATCTGAGCCTCTGGTTGAGAGATTTGTGTGTAGGCCCTGAAGTGATTGTACTGCAACTCAATATGGAATCGCTGTTGAGTATCTAATAGATGTTATAGGTCTGCCATTTTCACAGAATCACAGAATCAGCTGGGTTGGAAAAGACCTCTGAGATCATCAAATCCAACCCTTGATCCAACCCCACCATGGTTCCCAGACCAATGCTGCTTAATATTTTTGTCAGTGACCTTAAAGAAAATGTACCATAATTGCTGATAGATAGCAGCTGGGATTGCTTTTTAGCTGACCAAGTGAAATAAAATGCGTATTAACTATACAAATAAAATGGGTACTAACATGTAAATGTATGCTCACACCTATGCAGAAAGGAACAGAAGCTAAATTCATGAGGAGTTTATACTGGAAAACAAAGTCTGCTGGTTGATCCAAATTTCTTGCACAGCCACCTCCTAAAGGAACAAGGCCTTCACTTCTATTCCATAAAAAAAAAGAGAATAGGTACTAGAGGGAAGTTTATTACTTGTGCTTTTAACCCATTTTTATCACAACAGAAATACTCTCATGTCCCACTTCTTGGGTCTGTAATTTAAGAAGGACCTACTGAAATGTTCACATAGTAAAGGGCTTCTTTGTGCTTACACAGACCAACACAACGCATAGTTTTTATAAAAGATTATAGGAAGTATTTCATATTAACCTGTCTCTCACTGTCTTTTAATTTGAAATTTAACTTTGCCTTTTGATATCAGTATCCATGTTCAATCTGAGACAAAATTTTCTCTATCGTGACTCTTAACTCTGCATTACAAAGAAAATCACCAGAGATGTCTGCAAACACCTTTACTTTCCCACACAATTGGTTTCTTATATTGTGAAGTTTGTTTAGTACTGTCACTATTTAGAGATTCATATCAATTACAAAAGTATACAGGAGTGTTACTAAAGTGAACTCAGAGGAAAAGCCACAACTCTTCCCATCAGGATGAAACCACTTCATTGCCACAGTGAACGAAATCTGATGGTTTTGCCTCTGTGTAACATGATGACTCACATACAAAACCTGCATCTGCATACCTCTACCAGGATGGACTATAACTAGGACTAAACATCTGAAATTAATACAGTCAAGTGCTATCCCATGTTTAATCCAATTAAAAGGACTGATGCACATCATTTGGAATGAATATGAGGTAATTTAATGAATCACAATAGGTCTCATGAGCATTTTTGTTGCTAATTAGGGCCACAAAGCTACAGGATATTATTTCAATCACCCACTGCCCCTCACAAAATAACATACAATTTAATAACAAAGCAAACCACAATGCAATAATTGCAGTGCAATACAAAATTAGCTTAAGAGCTAAGAGATGCATCTGAGACTCAGGCATGTGCAGAATTCCCAATTAAGTCAGCTTAACAACTAACTAGTACTCTTAACTTGCTAGTCGAAAATGTGCCCTCAGACACATCCACATACATTGTTCCACCTTCTGATTCAAAAGTGACTTGAATTGAAACTGAGATATTTAAAGTGTATCAAAAGACTGGCAAGAACTTCTGCTCAGCCTTAGGAGTGCATGCAACAGAATCTATTGCAATGAAATGCAACTGCAGAAGTCACATTCACAATCAAAACAGTGTCACTTAAAAGGATCCTGACCAGTTTAAACAGTTTAGCTGCACTGATTTAGCTTAACTAATAAATCTGTATTTACAAAAGGCATACATCAAAACAGTGAGAAAGAGGACTGTGTTCAAGAGACTCACCTGAGATCCAGGCACGTGTATAGTTCCCAATTCTTGTACACAGCAGATCTGAAAGAGTTTTCAATTCTGTAACCATGTGTAAGATCCATTTCCAAACCCAGGAGCAAACTTGCAGTATTTGGCTGGCAATATTGAGCAGACTGAGTGTCAAAGCTGGTAGTTGAAAAGATAGGTATGATCGACGTAAATGATAAAAAGTATGCAAATAGGCAGACAAGTAGATTCAGGGAGTACCAATGTGCCCATGGCTCACTATAAATAGGTGGAAAAATCCAAACATCAAAAAGGAAGTAAATCCTTAAAGCTTACCTATGATGTATATGGATTTTTTGATTTTTAGCTTTTTGTAGATTTTAGAAGTAGCTGTATTATATCCCTTACCCTTAGCACAGTAGTTTCCACATTTATCCAACACTGTTACCCCATTTCATATCACTCCCTCAAAATTCCATTAGCTTGTTTAGACTTCCCTCAAGGTAGGCCTTTATTCTTTCTAAGAACATCTGCACCCTGGCTTGAACGACAAGATACCACTCAGGCATAGTGACCTTCAAGCCCAGAGCTTTGGAGGACTAAACGTGCTGTGATGAAGAGGAGGATGTTGAAGAGGGGGTCCCAGAGCCCCCTGCCTCAATTTCCAGAGGGGTGTGCCAGGGGGAGGTGCTGAGAGGCAGACAAATCTGGGATTGGATGGAATAATATCTTAAATTGTGAAACCCCGTGGACATGAGGGGGGCATCGTGCATTCCTGTGGGCTTCAGGTCAGAAATTAAAGGACCTACCCTCCTTATCTTATCTTATACACTAAGTTGGCTTGAAGTCCTGTTTTCTGTGGTCTCTTAAGGCAACAGCTAAGAAATACATGGGCATACTCAATAATTAATTAACTCATTCTCCTAGCTAATCATCCGTGTTTCTTATTAAGGTTATTTGGACTGGTCTGTGAATTGCCACAAGGACTGAAGACCAGAACAGATACACTAAGACAGGAAAATCATTAGTAAAATGCTTATTGGTTAAGCACATAAATAGTTCTACTGAAGACAACAGTCTTGTTCAGTCATAGGTTTGCTTTTACTGAACAGAGGGATGAAATCCTAATTCCTTGTCCGAAGGCAAAGTTTGACCAACTTATTCAACTGTACCAGTATTACATGCAGTTTTAAAAACTCACACCCATTTATCCAGTTCTGCCAAGCTAACAGCCAGTAAAATGAAAATGTAAAAATAAAAATTTTAAAATAATAAATTACTTAGAAAACAATACTGCACTTTTTACCTCACAAAGCATTCCTAAAGATTTATGAGTACAAGTAGAGTGTTCAGTGCTGTGCCAGTGGGAACCTGATATGATTTGCAATAGATCTCACAGTAAATGAACCCAACATAGAAGTAGGGATGCTTGAATTTATGAAAAGTTCTTCTCACTTTTTCAATACAAGACAAAAAAAAAATCTTAGAACATTCACTGAATAAGAATGAGGAATTTCAGGAAAGTCTGAAGAAAAGCTGTTATTTAAAAATAGAAAATTTAAAAATAGTACCACAGTAAAAATTTATTCTTCTTTGGATTCTTCATTTTTTTTTTCAAGATTCCCAAGTTTGAAAACCACAGCATGTCAAAACTCAAGGATGTTTTCCACCTCCCTGTGTTTATGAACAGGGAACAGAACCATGGCGCATTACAGGTAGGCAACCAACACAGTACATGATTTACAGCAAACAAAATGTGGGAAAATTATTATTGTAGAGACTAGAACCTTTGTGAAATATTAACTGTTACGATGACGAATGGTGTCCCCCAGAAGGAAGCTCCCAGGCAGCCATCAGGCCTAAGCTCCCTGCATTACTACAAGCAACAGATATTGAAGAGCTCATGCTCATTATTCAAGAGCTTGCTTTAGAAATGAGTTAAAAATTGCTGTTTGTAATGCTTTTAGATTTCAGAGAGACACTGCTGGTGACACAGAAAGTAGCTGGGACCCAACTGTTCCACATCCCCTTGTTCTTGCCCTGTGTTATCTAAGAAGTTCTCAATGAAGGATTCACTCTGGCTTTGCCCAGAGGAAAACACAGAGAGCTGCATACACACACGGGTTGCAAAGGTCACAAAGCTTCACTCCTGCTGAAGAATCACAGAACGCGTCAGGTTGGAATGGACCACAGTGGGTCCTCTGGTTCAACCTCCCTGCTCAAGCAGGGTCATCCTAGAGCACATGGCACAGGATTGTGTCCAGACGATTCTTGAGTATCTCCAGTGAGGGAGACTCCACAACCTCTCTGGGCAATGTGTTCTAGTGCTCGCACCGGAAAGAAACCAAGAAACTTCAGGATTCAAAAGGAAAACATAACAGTCTGTCTCGCTTTTTAGTTTTTTTTTTTAAATCAAATTCAGCGCTGACTTCCCTTGAGAGCCGGACTTGGGCAAAGGGGACCGACCCCTCCAGCCGCTTGGCGAGGCGCAAGCAGCTCCGCCACCCCCTTCCCCAGTGACCCTCGGCCAT